AGGCTAAGGCTGGAGGATCTCTTGAGCCCAGTAGTTTGAGACCAGTCTGGGCAATATAGTGAGACCCTGTCTTTACAAAAAATAAAAAAATGACATGGGCATGGTGGCGTGCCTGTAGTCCTAGCTACTTGGGAGGCTTAGGCGGGAGGATCACTTCAGTCCAGGACTGGGAGCCTGCAGTGAGCTTTGATCGTGCCACTGCACTGCAGCCTGGGTGACAGAGACCCTGTCTCAAAAAAAAAAAAAGCCCAATCATCTCTTACCATTTTTTTAATAAGACAGAGTACAAGTTCCTTATAAGCTTCAGCTTTTCTAAAATATATCTATTACCTTTATCACTTGTAGCCATCCTAAATTACTTCTAGTTTCCCTCCTACCAGGTTAGCTCACACTCCTGTACCTCTGAACATGCTGGTACCTTTATCTGCATGTAGTTCTTTGCCCCACTCCCTATACTCATCCTGTAAAATCTTGGATCAAACATCACCTGGTTCAACTTCCTTGATCTCGCAAGCAAAATTAGTCATTTCATTCTCTGTTATTCCATGGCACCTTGTTTGTATCTTTTTAAAGACATTTCTCATTGATCTATTTGTTGGCCAGCCTGTCTTCCCCTGCAAGTATGGATAAAGGGCAAGGCCTACTATATATGTATCTAGTAGTGTTACTGAAAATAAGTGAGGAGTAAATCATTGTAGAAGCAAAGGGTAAAAGTGAAGGGAGGATTTTTTTTTTTTAATTATAAAAGCTCTCAGTTAATGGGTGGGGAAAAAGATAGATTCTTAAAGTCCTAAAGCTATTATAGTTAACAGATACCAATACCTGCCAGGCATAGTGCTAAATGCAGTTTTCAGACTTACCTGAAATGATCTTAAAGCCTAACTAGGGGGGAGGAGGGGGCAAGGGCAACATACGTAACCTAAACATCTGTACCCCCATAATATGCGGAAATCAAAAAAAAAAAAAAAAGCCTAACTAATGGTAACAAGTTAACACACAGAAGTCTATCTTTATGCATAATAAAGGCACAGACATATTTTGTAGAAAAAGATCTTATTATATGGGGGTTTAGCTAGGGTTTAGATCTTTTATGTTCATAATTTGTCAACATTTAGCAACTTGACACAATTGAATGCTTAAACTTGGGTTATATACAGGGTGATCACATGTCCCCTTTAGCCTGCAACAGCCCGGGTATCTCAGTTTAGTCATTACAAGTGCCCCCTGTGATTCTCAAATATGTCCTAATTTGGATAATTAGTGTTCTAGTTTGGACAATAATTTATATATAACACAGTCACACATCACTTAACAATGGGATACATTCTGAAAAATGTGTCACTAGGTGATTTTGTCATCATACAAACATAGTGTACTTACACAAGGCTAGATGGTATAGCCTACTACACACCTAGGCTATATAGTATAGTCTCTTGCTCTTAGGCTTCAAACCTGTACAGCATGTCACTGTATTAGTATGTAGGCAATTATAACATAATGGTTAAGCATTTATGTATCTAAACATAGAAAAGGTACAGTAAAAATACGGTATTATTATGGGACTAGTCACTAGGGACTACTACCATATGTGGACTGTTGTTGACATATGCAGCACATGACATTATAT